GTCCACAGCCGCCCGTCCCCGCACACGCGGTGCCCCATCCGCCCCGCCCCGCCGCGCCAGAGCACGGGCCGAGACGCGCCTGGGGCACGTAGGCGGTCTTGCGGATGAAGGCCTTGGTGGCGCGCGCGCCGTTGACCAGGATGCGCCCGGTCAGCTCGCCCACTGACTTGCGGAGGGCCAGGATGTCCATGAAGGTCGACTTGCCGGCGCCAGAGGGGCCCATCAGCGCCTGAGAGGTGACGGTGCAGCGTCAGCGGAGGTTTCGGAAGGACTCTGGAGAGTTCCAGGGGGGTTCCTGCTTGTCAAGTGCGCCTGCGGGCGGCTGCAGGCGTGAGGGGCGGCTCTGGCACGGCCTCTCGTCCTGCTGTCGGGCGGGAGGCGCGCGGCAGTGCGCCCTGCACCCAAAAATGAAGGGTTGCCGCGTCGACGTCAGGAGGGGGCAGAAGGGGGGATGAGGGGGCGCACCTGCATCTCTCCCGGCTGGGCTATGCCCCAGATGTCTTTGAGCACATCCTTGGGGCCTGCAGGGGGACGGGTGGAGTGAAAATGTGTGTGTGTGTGTGTGTGTGTGTGTGCGTTTGGGTAGGTGCTTGTAGGTGTGTCTGTGTGCAGCAGTGTATATGTGTGTGTGCAGGCGTTTGTGTGAGTGCATGGGTGCTGATGCGCGTGCACAAACGTACAGAACGAGATGGCTTGTGTGTGTGTGTGTGTGTGTGTGTGTGTGTGTGTGTGTGTGTGTGTGTGTGTGTGTGTGTGCGCGTGTGTGTGTGAATGCGCTCGCCCTGAGACTGACCAGCACCTGCTCGGAGAGCAGCAGCCCCCCTCTGTCCCCGCGCCCTCGGTGCCCGTCTAGCCCACAGCCTGCACCTCCGGGCGCACTTGCGCGGCCCGCCGCCCTCCCGCTCGGGGTGCCAGAGCGGTCGAATTATTGCATCGGATTCTGAGAAAAATACACTGCACGACTCCCGGGCTGACTCTATCAGTCTATAACAACAGGTTTGCCTGCAGCCGCTGGCCGCCGAGCCCAGAAATCACGAAAATCCGCGTGGAAGCCGCAGGGGCGCCGCACCCGCTGGCGTCGCGTATATGCAGCCCACGCCCTGCCACTCTAGGCTGGAGGACACCACGTTGATCGAGTAGGTGTGGGTCAGGTCGCGGGTGGGGGGCTGCTCGAGGGACTTGAAGATCTGGGGGCGGGGAGGGGGGCGGCCAGGCAGGCAGATTTGCGAGAAGGGCGGGCGCTGGGTTTCAGTCGCAGCTGGATTGGTTCGAAGGGCGTGTTTCAGCTGGAGCGTCCCCTGGCGCGGGTAGGCGTGGGGGGTGGCGGCTGCGGACAGGGCGGGATGCGTTTTGGGCTGCCGGGCAGG